TTTGCCAAGCGGTATGGCCTTTGTCCTAGCCTGCCTGGCCCCAGTGCTTAGAACTGCACATACACACTGACTTGGTCATGGTAATGACCTTGTGATACAGGTTTCTTTATTACTATGTGTGGAAACTGAGGCGCAGAGACGGCAAAGTTATAGCTGACCTGAGGGCCGGCAGGTGGCAGAAGCCAAGCCCTGGCAGGGTCTGGGCAGGGAAGGAGAAGTGCAGGTTCCCTGACCTCAGGGACGCCCCAAGTGACCACAAGCAGCACAGGATGGGCGACATGCAAATTAGACAGTTCCCTAGAACAACAGGCCAAAGTGCATGGGTAAGGGGCAAGTGCGGGTTAAGGGTGGGCTCTCTGTCCTTCAGCTGAGCGGAAATGGGTTGGTATCCAATACAGAGAATTAAAATCAGCCTAGACAAACGATCTGGGAAGGGCAAGAGATCAGAGTGAGCAGTTGCAGAGGAGGAAGCCGGGGCGTCACCTGTCCGCGGAGGAGCAGACTGGGGTTTGGAGCCTGGCAAATGGGAACTGAGTGATTGTGACTTTAGTTCTGAGGGACTCTGGGTTACAGAGGTGGCAGACCCTTGAGAATCCACCCTGCGGGGCACGTGTGGCATGACTGTAGTGGGAATCATCTGGAAGTTTCTGAGGGCGACACCCTCAGGTTCAGCATTTTCATGTCTGCGGATAGCAGAGTTGAGGCGTCCCAAACGCTCACCATTGGAGGAATAGACTGACGGTGGGTGCCGCAGAGCGGCACACAGACGGAGCTAGAGCAGCCCGTGCCAGCAGCTGGCCATTGGGCAGTCCAGGTTCTCAGTGCCCTGTGTCTCTGCCCCTGTGAGAGAGTCAAGGTCGGTTTGGAGCTATGCCTCTACATCATCACACCGCCTCAGGAAAGCAGGGTGGGCAGTGAGGGGAAATGCAACTCCAAATACAGCAGGTTTGGGACCAGACTGAGCAAAAACGTGACCCACCCATCAGATGTGCACTGGCTGAACACAAAGGGGAAAGGGAGCTGAGCACCAGCATCCATCTCTCTCTGCTTCCTGGGTGTGGCCCCAGAGTGACCAGCTACCTCATGCCTCTGTCGTGCCTTCGCCAGGATGGACTGTACCCTTGATGGTGAGCCAGAAGAAGCCCTTCCTTCCTTAGGTTGATTTTGATGCAGGCACAAGAGAAGTTGATACAAAGCCACCAATCCTTACCAGCAGGCCCTGCTCACAGTCACTTCCTGCATGTCTGCCCCTGCTGTGGTTCAGCAGGCTGCACCAAGGGTCAGGACAGGGACCCAGAAGCTGGGCTGCCTGGAGGTTCCAGACGTCCTCATCCACCCAACAGTTGCCCTGCCTGCAACTGTTAGAACTCCAAAAGGCTGTGGGGTCCATGTTGTCTAGTTCCATTGCAACCGCAGTGGCAGCACGCGGCCAGGCGCACAGTGGGTGCCTGCTGGGCAGCCCCTTGGAAGGGTAGTAGGCTCTGCTAGGTCCCCATGCCCGAAAACTGGAGTGCTCTAGGGACAGATGGCCTCCCATGCCCATGTCTTGAAGTAGTTGGCTAGATCAAGTGTCCAAATACTTGGAGCCTATGGAGGACATTTTCATTCAAACCACCACCTTCTGCTGCCTGGCCTCCATAGGCTGTCACAGCCACATCATAATACAAAATGCATTTAGTTCAACTTCTGAAGTCCCCATAGTCTTTAACAGTCTCAACACTATTCAAAAGTCCAACATCCAATGTCTCTTCTGAGACTCAAAGCAATCTCTTCACCATAACCCCTCGCAAAATCAAAAAGCAAATCACATACTCCCACATGCAATAGCACATCATACACATTCTTGTTCCAAAACAGAGGAATGGGAGCATAGTGAGGAAATACCAGACCAAACCAGACCAGAGCCCAGCAGGGGAAACATGTAGCTCCATGTCTGATGTTCAGTTCCAGAGCTCCGCCCTTCCAGCTTTGCTGCGTGCCGTTCATCAGGCTATCAGGCTGGTTCCACTCTCCTTGACAGATGCCTCATGGCTCTGACATCCAACATCTTGGGGTCTCCACTACAAATCAGACTTCTCCTTAACAGCCTCATGCAATGGTCTGTCAGGGCCTCTTGGTCTCCCGGCCTCCTTTCTGCAGGGACTCCCCCGCCACATGCTGCCCAGCCTCAGTAGCCCTCTGAAACCACGCAGAGGCTGTCAGGGCCTCTTGGTCTCCCAGCCTCCTTTCTGCAAGGACTCCCCCGCCACACGCTGCCCGGCCTCAGTAGCCCTCTGAAACCACGCAGGAGGAATCCACAACTGTCTTACTTTTGCATCTTTCATGCCACTAAAGCCAGCACTGTGTGAAAGACACCAAGTTAGGCTGTCAGCTTGGGATGGTCCTTGGCCCCTTTCCTCCATCTCTCCAGCAGCTTTTGTGTGTGGTGCTTTTCTCTTTTTATATTTTATTATTTTTATTTTATGTGTATGAGCGTATTGCCTGCATGTATGTGAGTGCACCTGTGTCGTGCAATGCCGTGGAGGTCTGAAGAGGGCTTCGGATTCCCCTGGAACTGGAGTTAATGACGGTTCATAGCCGCCATGTGGGTGCTGGGAATCGAACCCAGGTCCTCTGCAAGAGCAGTCAGTGCTCTTAACTGCTGTGCCATCTCTCCAGCCCCTGTTGTGATTTTCTAGGAGCAGAAAACTCCTTAAGTCTTTCCCTTTCACAAGTTGTGAAGCTTAGCACGTGAAATAATTATAATTACACACACACACACGTATTCATGTTCAGTCATGTGTGTGCATTGTATGTGACTGAGCATGCATGCATGCATGAGTGTGCATGTATTTGCACATAGGTACTTGCATACATGAGTGAAGAATGTATGTGAGCACATGAATATGTTCATGTGTGTGTCCACTGTGTGCATGTGAGTGAAGTTATGTGTGAGTGTGCATGCACATGTAAATGAACAAGCATATGTGTGAGCACATGAGCATGTGTATGTGGGGATGTGTGTGTGTGAGTGAATACATGAACATGTGTGTGCATGAATACATGAATGTTTGAGAATACATAGGTAGGTGTGTATATGTGTGAATACATGAGCATGACTGTTATACACAGGCATGTGTGTGAACACGTGGGTATGTGTGTGTGAATACACACATGTATGTGCATGTGTGTGAACACATAGGCATGTGTATGTGTATACATGGACATGTGTGCACATGTATGTGAACACATGGGCATGTGGGTGAATGCATGAGTATGTGTGTATGAATACATGGGCATGAGTGTGATACAGAGGTCTGTGTGAACATGTGGGTGTGTGAATACATGGACATGTATGTATGCAAACACATGAACATGTGTGTGTGAGTACACAAGCACGTGTGTGAATACACAGGCAGGCATGTGTGTGAACATGTATGTAAATACATGAATATGTATGAATACATGTGCATGAGTGTGTGATACACAGGCATGTGTGAACATGTGGGTATGTGTGCATGAATACATGGACGTGTGTGTGAATACATTGATATGTGTGTGCATGTGAATGAATGTGTGACTCCATGGGTGGGTGTGGGTGTGAACACATGGGTATGGGCATGTGAGTGTTTGATGCTGAGTAGTTCACCCCATGTGCAGGGCTGCATTCCACCACCTCTGTCCTTGGGGACGTGCTTCCCAGCACAGCAGGGATCCTCTTTCTGCCTCTTTGTAATCATGTCCATTTTTCTTTCCTAACTCCTGAGTCCTCCAACTTGTCCCCTTCCCTACAGTTTTGCCGTCGTATTTTAAAAAGGGAGTTATGACATGGGTTCGGACTGGCTTTTTCACTCTGCATAACTCCCTTGTGCCCATCCGTGTTGATTCTTTTTGTGCTAACCTGAGGCCCTGGATGGATGGATGGCATCTGTTACCTGTTGTGGGCTATGCCTTATGTTTGGTCATGAACAGAACTGCTATAAACATCCATGTGGTCTTTTATGTGGACACAGCTTTCACATCTCTCTGTAAGTGCCCAGCAAATTGCTTTTAGCCCACAAACACCCATTATTTGGCTGCTGTCTCTCATGTGTTCACCAAACGTGTGGGACAGACTCTTGTCCCATTGGGATGCTATCAGTAGCCCCCAAGAAGCCTAGTCTCAAAGGGGTCAGACGGGCTCAGCCCTGCATCTGGGGCTCATCAGATCCTATAGCACTCCATCTCCTTGGAACCTCAGGGATCTGTGTGCTGGGCCCTTTGAGATACTACTTCCCAGATGAGGTGACTCTGGGGCCAGCCACTGGGATGCTCTGAGAGTGGTCTTTACTGGGGTTGAGACCCATTCCTGAGAAGAGACCTGGGGTACTGAATGGTACCTCCTAAAACATATGCTCATCCTCATGCTAGGACCTGAGTAGGGACTTTATTTGGCAAAAGTCTATGGCTGTCATGTGAAATCACCCTAAATACCTGGGAAGTTTAAATCAAGACAGAGGAGAAGCTGTAGGCACAAGAAGGCTCTGGAAGGAGGTGGTGGACAGGGCAATGTGACCACAGGCCAGCCGGGGGAGGAAGCTGGAAGGGATCCTGGAGCCCATGGAGTGGGAGGATGGGCTCTAATGCCTAGATCTTGGGTTTCCGGGCTGCAGAGCTGCAAGACAGTAAACCCCAAGTTCTATACCCTGCTGTGCATATCGTCCAGGGCACTCCCACAAGGTCAGTTTTCTGCTCTGCTCGGACCCCGCCACCCTGTGAGTTCCCACTAAGAGCCCGATTTCCAGGAATACATTGCACACGGTCTTTCTTGAGACCTGTGCTCCCTTATCGCTACAGGATAACCCCACGACAGGCAGAGAACAGCTTGGGAGAGGTGCTACCATAGTTACCCTGGGCCGGGCTCCCCAGCTTCTGACACTGACCCCAAAGCCATCCTGTCCAGCCCCGACCCCTACCCCCCTGGGCTGCCTTGTTTTGTACCTGGGTTGAAGCTCGTGCACCAGAAGGCCTGGCTGGTTCCTCTACCAGCCACCATAGCAGTCATCTGGGGAGACAAGGGCCGGTCAGATGGCTTGCTGGGCCTCCCTCCTGACTTCCCAATCCCTGGGGGGGTCTCTGTGCCAAGCATGCTGGGCTGCCTCCCCTGGGACCTCTCTGAGTCGGAGCAGTGAGCCTTACCTTTGTTCGTCATGTCTATGATATTTTGTGGACTCAGTCCATATTTTTGGCAGGTTATCACAAATCTTTTGCGGTAGGCGGGGCTGAGCTCTGGGATGCGCCCTGGGAACAGATCGGGGATTTTGTGTTGGAAGAAGTCTAAGGGGACTCGGGCAGAGCTAAGTCTGGGCTGTACCTTGATGGGAGAGATGGCTTGTGTCAGGAGGAATGGGGGCTCCAGAGCCCTACTCCATAATGTGTCTGAGATAGGAACCACCTCCCCAGACTTGGGGCCCATAGGAGACCCTCTACCCATAGCTGGACTCCCCAAGCAGATGGGGGCCTGGTTACCATAGAGTGCCAGCACGTGCGTCTGGGTCCCATTCTTGACATTCTGCATGTAGAAGGTGACGTACATCCCATAATCCGTCTCTGAGAGCAGCACCTTGTTCTCTCCCTCATCTGCGGAGATACAGCTCAGCACACCGCTCTGCCCTGGCACTGTGATTCCCTCTCCTCACTTCTGGAATGAGTGCTGCCTGGCTGCATGTGGCCTCAACTAAGTGGGCATTGGAAGGAGAGGGAGTTTGGATGCCCAGTGCTAACTCAGGAGGAGACTGTGCCGTGGCAGTGTGGGGAGAGTGCTTCGGGGCCCCTCTACCTACAGAGGGGCCTCTGCCTGCTGCCTCCCTGAACCTCGGCACAGTACTCCACCTCCTTGATGGTCCTAGGCTATTGACATCAGAGAGAAGGCCAGACTGGGGACCCCCAAGTTACTCTCAGGCTGGGTGCTCTTGCTTTGGGGTTGGGGGTCCCCATAAAGTCCCTTAAGTCAGCATTTACCAGTAGAAAGACTTTCTGGCTGTCAAACCAGAAAGAACAGGGCTCCCACTTACAGGTAATGGAGAACTCTCCGTCTTTCTCTGTCTTTTCACAGACCACGACAACAGCCACGCACTCACCCTGCACCCTGGAGGTCAGGGAGGGGCGAGGCTCAGAGCAAGCACCAGCCCCCGAGGGAGTCACGGCAGGAAGTGCCCATCACCAGTCAGTCCCCAACCTAACACTTTGACTTCCATGACTGCCCCCCCCCAAGATCAGAAGGGGCCTTTTAACTAACTCATCTCACAGGGATGAGTACAGGGCTCAGCATCAGGCCAACCTCCTGATGGCCACCCCCGCCTCCCCATCAACCTGACCCCTGGGGATGAGCTGGTGACAGTCCACACGCCAGTCACCCAAGTACCAATGACAGCAAGCTCAGGTGTGCCCCTGTGGGCTGTGGGAACGTGGGTCTCCCCCAGTTCTGGTTTGTGGGGTGACACTCACAAGAAGCGAAAGTCAAACTGCAGGCTGCCGTTCTTTAAAAGCTTGATATTCCGAATGAAGATCCGCAGGTCCCCATTCTTTTCAATGCGTGTCAGGTTGTCCGAGGCCATGAATATAGGGTACCAGACCCCTGAAATCTGGAGGAAGAGCTTGAATGGTGGGAGTCCCGAAGTGCCCTGGTGCCGCTTGGCCCTCATGGCTATGTTCCTGGGCCAGTCTCTGGACACTCGCTCCAAGGTAGTACCTCCTCCTACCTTCCCAGGCCCCCTGATCGCCCAGGCCCCCTGTCCTACGAGGCCTCTCTGATCCCCCAGATCCCCTATCTCCCAGATCCCCTTGACCTCCCAGACCTGCCCTCCCAGACCCTTCTGAACTCCCAGGGCTCCCTCTGCTTGCTTTGGCTGTCATCACAGCTGGGTATGGGACAGACTTCTGTGGCCGACACTCTTCTTCCAGGTCAGTCCTACCCCCCAAGTCAAGGTAGGACAGGTGCCCCGAAGCCTGGCCCAGCCTACCCTTGCCATGTTGTAGTTCCTTTGTACAACAGGGTACTGCTGGTAAAACCGTGCTGCGGCAAAGCTCAGCACCAGGCCCAGCACCAGCAGTGCCATCCTTTCTGGTGGGCATCTTGAGAGGTGCAGCCCGCTCTCTTATACCCCTTTCCGCTGTGCAGTTGCCAGCCTCCGTGGACAGCTCGGTTGCCAGTCTGTCCACACACATCCTGTGCCCCGTGGGAAGGCCGCCAAAGGCCCTCACTTAACTGCTCACAGCCTGTTCTAGAGCTGGCCGCAGAATCTGCTTAAACGAGTATGTGACTGGGTCAGAAAATGACAGGGAAAGTTGGAATAGCAGCTTTTGGCACCAGGTCCCTGGACCCAGGCCAGCCTGCTAAGACCCCGGACAACCTGAACTCCTGCTCTGTCTCCCCAAGCTGGGGAGAAGAATAGTCCTCAAGGCCACATCTGCACTCAGAGCCAGGGTGTCTGAGTCCTTTCTTTGCGCCGTACCTGCCCTTAATGCTTCATTTGGAAGGGGTTGGCTCCCCACAAACCACCTACATGGTATGCAGGTCAGGCCTGCAGCAGAACTGGCCGCCCTGTCTGGAGGATGTCACCGAGTTTAGGACTAGGTCCCAAAACTATAGGAAAAGAACCCAAGTCGGAGTAACTGTGGAGACAGCCCTGGAGGGACAGTCGAGCCGGGAGAGGGAAAGATGCTCTGGAGTTTGGCACTACAGTGGCTGGAGAACACACTCGGGGTCAGACATGCCCTGTCCTGGCTGGAGGCCAACTGTGGGAGGTGGTGATGAGCTGAGTCCTGGAAAGGTCTGCATGGTTCCTACAGGTCTCTCACAGGAGTCTCTGGCCTCCAGTTGCCCCTGGGCATAGGTGTGTTGGCAGCAGTTGGGGGGAAGGCTTTGTTCCTGTGTAGGGACAAGGCTAAGCTTGGCAGCCAGGCCTCAAGGCAATCCAGGGGCAACCACCCATGGGCTGTCACAACCTGTGTGGAGATTTCTGCCCTGGCCTGTTGTGGGTCTGAGATAGAGGAGGGGGGCTAGGCAGGTGCTAGGCATTATTCCTAAAAATGTTTTTATTTATGATTTTCATTTTATGTGTATGAGTGTATTGCCTGTAGGTATGTACGTGCACCCATGTTGTGCAGTGCCTCAGAGGTCAGAAGAGGGTTTTGGATTCCCCTGGAACTCGAGTTAAGGACGGTTGTTAGCTGTCATGTGGGTGCTGGGATTCGAACCTGGGCCTTCTGCAAGAGCAGCCAGTGCTCTTATCCCCTGAACCATCATCTCTCCAGCCCATGGCATTAGGCATTATTAAAGCACTATTAAAATTACAATTAGTGTCAATAAGTTCTTTAAAAACCTAAGTATCGGTTTTGTTTATAATTTCTTATAAATAGGCGAAGATGTTGGGGGTGGGGCAAGTTGACGCTTTAATTAGTGCTGCTAGACAATCCCTTGTTTCCCTGGGTGCTTTGAGCGAAAGACCTGGCAGTCAAAGAGCCAACGTCTGTGCGCCAGGGCCGGCTGCTGAGTGGCTGCCGCTCCGGCTCCTGGTGGGCGACTGGAGCCAGGACTGCTGCAGTGGCTGCTGTTTTTGCTCTCACAGACCTTGGGGACCCTAGGTGACTCCATAGCCCTTTCCACCCAGCTGGGAGGAGCTGCACTTCTGCTGGTGGCCTAGCAGAGGGACTGTGGTGAAGGATGGAACAAAGTTGTGGTTGCTGCAAACACAAACCTTCATTTGCAAAACAGGTTTGCCGTGGGAACAAACACCCCGTCCATTGTTCAGCGCCCGGTGAGTTGGCTGGCAGATGCTCCTTTTACTGCCTGATGTTACAACACTGGGTCTAATAAAATCTTCTTTTGACTATAGTTTGAGGTTGTTTGTGTATATGTTTGAGACTCATGTAGCCCAGGCCTGGCTTGAACTCACTATGTAGCTGGGGATGACCTTGAACTCTTGATCTTTCTTGCCTCCATTTCTCCAGTATTGGTGATCCCCTCTAGAGGTACAAGAATGAGTCCATTTTCTCTGCCAATTAAAGAATTAAAATACAGGAAAGTGTCACTGGAAATCTTGGGGAGTCTCAGCAGAACCATCATATGATACCTGGGAAATCAGGGTCCCCTCTTGGGGTTCTTAGTCTCATTGATAAAAGAATTCAAGGTTCTAGAGAGATGGACCAGTGATTAAGAGCCCGTGTGGTTCTTGCAGAGGACCCAGATTAAGTTTTTGATGTTTGTGAAAAATGGGATGGACTAGTCAGTGTTTGTTACTATGACTGTGATGGTTAATCTTGGTTGTCAACCTGACTAGCTCTGTAATCAACTAAAATGTCAGCCACTTGGAGAGATTTTCTTGGTCAAATTATTTGAAGTGGGGAACCCCCACCCCCAAGTGTGAGCAGCACCTTCCAGTGGCAGCCCAGATTAAAGGGAGATGGAAGAAGGGAACGGCCCTTTGCCTCCTGCCTTTCCTCTGCTGGCAAGGTCATCCACCTTGTGGCTGCCAACGCTGTGTTTCTTCCTAATACTAAAACACTCTTCTTCAGGCTTCCAAGGTAGACTGAAGATGAGCACTTCTCCAGGAACTCTCTAGGCCTTGAGCACCAGGTCAGGACTGCAGAGACAGCTGGCCTCAAGGACTGAACAACTACTGGATTCTCAGTCTCTCCAGTGTGAGCAGGGTCTCCCTGTAGCCCCATCTGTAACTCCAGTTCTAGGGGAATCCAAAGCCCTCCTCTGGCTTCTGGCTTTGCATGACATGGGTGCACTTACACACATGAGGCAATACACTCATACACGTAAAAATAATAAAAATAAAATTTATTTATTTTTATTTATGTGTATGCTTGTGGGTCCTCATGGTTCATCATATGAGTGCAGTGTCTGCAGAGGCTAGAGTTACAGACACTTGTGAATCATTGTGTGGGTCCTGGGAACCGAACCTGAGTCCTCTTCAAAAGCAGTTAACTAATCCCAGCACTCAAGGAGGCAGAGGCAGGTGGATCTCTGTGAGATTGAGGCCCGGTCTACACGGTGAGTTCTAGGCCAGCTGGGGCTACAGGGAGACCCTGTCTCAAAAAAGCAATAAGCACTCTTAACTGCTGAGCCATCTCTCCAGCCCCCAAGACAGGGTTTTAACTCAGAGGAGGTTTCTATAAAACAGCACGTGTGTGGACAGGAGCCTTGTACAAGTGGCTCTGCATCCAGAGCGACAGTCCACATGACCTGTGTGCAGATGTTGACTCTTTCGGCTCCTCTGTGCTGACCTCACTGACCTGGATCTCTTTGAGGAAGTGACCCACTGTTACTTTTCTCGTTGCTATGACAAAATACGTTCCAAAAGCAGCACAGGGAAGGAAGAGTTCGTTTTAGCTCACAGTCCCTCCTGTCAGGGAAGGTGTCGCGGGAGTGGCCCTGACGGTGGTGGCAGAGGGGAGGGTGACTGGTCCACGTGATTGCTGTTTTCTGTGTTTCTGTCATCGGGAAAAGAAGACATAAACAAGGGGCTGGAGAGCTGGCTGCTCTTGCAGAGGACCCAGGTTCGATTCCCAGCACTCACATGGTGACTAACAACCATAACTCCAGTTCCAGGGGATCCGACACCCTCTTCTGACCTCCACGGGCCTTGCACGACACGGGTGCACTTATATACACGCAGGCAATACACTCATACACGTAAAATAAACATAATAAATAAAGAATATATAAACGAGAGCCTGAGAAAGCAGAAGGGACTCGCTCTCCAGGTAACTGAATGATTTTCACAGCAGGTTGGGGCTGCTTCTCTGTTATACAGGACACACTCGTTCAAAGCCTCTCCAGGGCTGGTAAGATGACTCAGCAGGTAAGAGTGCTTACCGCCAGGCCTGGAGACCTGAGTTCAGTCCCCAGGACTCACAGGGTGGAAGGACAGAACCGACTCCCACAAGTTGTCCTCTGACCCATACACATATATAAACTCTCTCACCTACACACAAAATAAATAAATAAATGTAAGAAAATTAAGATGCATTAAAATAACAACAACAAAACCTCTTTACAAGTAAGAATCAGTCCTTAGAGGGTAAGGAGGCGTAACAAAGGAAGCAAAATGCGCCAGAACGTTCTAAGAAATCCTACGATATTTCCAGTGGGACCAAGTCCTGTCACCTGGTAATGAGGAAAGGAAGCCAGAGAGGTGCCATTGTGACACTTGCGCCGTCAGAGGGGTCTGGTGACATCAACAGAACACACACCACAAAAGTGATGGGTGCAGCCAGGCTCTTCCCGTGATCACACACAGAAGGTCTAATCTCTGTGAAACACCTGTCCTCATGGGATATCTTTGACTGTCTCTTGAGCTCACCCTGATCCAAGGTAAGGGGCCTGTGAAAGACAGGTGTTTGGGAATTTGGGCAGTTGTGAATGGGAGCTAGGCATGACCGTGCACACCTGTAATCCCAGCAGTTGGGAGGTTGAAGGAGGAAGGTTGCTGTGCGTCAAAGGCTAGTTTAGGCTATGGAGAGAAAGAGGCCCTGTTTCAAAACACAAAAATTGTGTGCAGGGACCATCTCCTGGCCTTGCTTCTGAAGGTGTTGCTGGTGCCTGGGGCCATCCCTAGGAACAAGCCTTGGGAGACGACACCTATAGAGGACCTGCCTTTGCGAGGGACTGGCTGACTGAACCATAGCTGACTCCATCTCTGTATTCTCAGACAGTGAATTTAAAAGGTGGTCCATTTCTAGTGTATGGAACTGCCTAGTTGTTGCTCACTGTAAAGGGTGATGTTTTATAAAAAAAATTCCCAGCTGGGCTAGAGAGATGGCTCAGTGGTTAAGAGCACTGACTGCTCTTGTAGAGGACACGAGTTCAATTCCCAGCACCCACATGGCAACTACAAACCGTCCTTAACTCCAGTTTCAGGGGAATCCAAAGCCCTCTTGTGACCTCTGCGGCATTGCATGACACGTGTGCACTCACATACACACAGGCAATACACTCATACACATAAAAATAATAAATAAAATAGTTTTAAAAAATCCCAGCGGAGTGGATACAGGATGTGAACCATATTTATAATGTCCCATTCCCTAGTAGCCACAGGACAAAGGGTCAAAGAAAGAGCGGAATTAGTTTTTAGCATTTATTTCTATGCCTAGACCACAACACCCAGACTGTAAGCATTGTTGTATATAAAGCTATGAAGGAGATACTTGCGCTCCCTGCCACGCTCAAGTGCTTGTCTTCCAAAGCTGGTGTGTTTTGTGCACTTACCGCCTGGCTCAGCTCAGAGCAGCTTTCTTATGAGTTTATTTAATGAGCCTCAGCATTGAGTCGTCGGAGGTCCTCCACTTTTGGTATGCCGTCCAGCGGTGTGATGTACATAGCCTACTAATAGAGCATATGAAACTTCACCCCAGGCTCAGCAACAGCTGGAGCCCAGGTTCTGCTTTGGCTCCTCCTGCCCTGAATGTGGCCACTGACCCTGTTTTCAGTCTCTGCTTAGGCCACCATGGTCTCGGATCAAATGCTCTGTCTCATTGACCTTGCTAGGAAAGAAAGACAAAGTTGACTTTGGGGCAGAATTCATCTTCTCAGCTTAGGAAGGCTTCCTTTATCATGACCCCACCCTGTCCCTACAACCACTCGGCAAGGATTCGTGGTAGCTACTTCGTGGGATCAAGATGAACTTGTAGGTAGGGGGAGATGGCTCAGTTGGAGAAGGTGCTTTCTACCCAAGCATGAAGACCTGAGTTCAAGACCTACCACCTGTGTAAAAGATGGGCATGGTGGCTCAGGTCTGTAGTCCTAGCACTGGGTGGGCGGAGACAGGTAGACAGCTGGGATAACTGGGACCCAACTGGACAGCTGGTATAGGCAAAATGGCAAGCTTCAAGTTCAGAGAGATGCTGCCTCAGAAAATAGGACGGAGAGCATTCCAACACCAAGCACTGGCCTCTGGACTCCTTACGCACATACAGCACACATGCAAACGTACATACAGATGGCCTTGCTTCCCCGAGGGGACATGGGGAATGTCAGTGTGTGCCCTACTTTTGAGGAGTATTCCAACCCCAGAGCAGAGCTAGCCAACCCCAGTTATTGAATCTTCTAGAAGAAGCCATCAAGTTAGTGTCCAAATATCCAGACTCTAACCTACTGCTAGGTGTGGCAGGTTGCAGTGGGTCTGTTTGCATGTCATGGGCTGGGCACTCACACTTTAAACCCTCTTCTCCTCTTCCCCCAGGAGAGGATGAGAACCAGAAGAATGATGTTCTTGGTTTCCCTGTTTCCCTTGCTGATGATGGTTATGTTCTACATCAGGTAAAGACTGTTTTAGTCACTTTTCTGTTGCTGTGATTAGGAGCTTAGAGAAGGAGTTTATTGGGCTTATGGTTCCAGAGCTAGTGCTTATAATGGCGAGGGAGGCGCAGCAGCAGATGGCAGGCCTGGCAGCCGGAGCCGGAAACCTGAGGAGTCACATCTCAGTCCACACCCAGGAAGCAGAGAGAGCAAGCTGGAACTGGGGCCAGGCTATGAACTCTTAAAGCTGCCTGCGGTGACCTGCTTCCTCCAGCAAGGCCACACCTCTTACAGAGTCAACAACGCCCCTAAACATTGCCACCGGCTGGGGGGGACCAAGTGCCTGGGCCTGCTGGGACATCTCTCCTACCAACCACCATGTTGATGAGTCATGACCTTCAGGAAGGGTTGGAGGTTCTCTAAACCAGAATCTCATCCAGAGATGTCAACAACACCCTATTGAATCAGAAGTTACATCCTCTCTGCTGTACTACGTGTACATATTTTAATTTTTTTCATTTTCAGACACCTGACAGTTATTTGTTGGGCATCTTCTGGGTCCTGGGCTCCTACCAGGTTCTGGGAAGCATCAGAGCGTCCCTCAGGGTATTTAATACACATTGGGATTTTATGCTTCATTAAATGATATCATGGAAATAGAGGCAGGCATGAGGAAGTGCTAGC